GAGAGATAAATGTCAAATAATAGGACAAAAAATTATGAGATATTCTGGAGATCCAACCTTGAAAAGAAGACAGCGAATACTAGCAGCCAAAGTTACTAAGATTGATGCAAATGGCTGAGCCCAAATCCACTAAATATTTTAGTAGCATAGAGTAACGATGAGGCAAAATATAAACTTAATCAGCTAACCAAACAATGCAAACGCCACGCAGTGAGGATAATAGAAGTGGGTTGACCTCGTTTTCTCAACTTGGCCTTGTTGTAAAACGCACCTTGTCGGAATTCTTCCGCCATATGAGTTATAATTCCAAGCATCAGACCATGGACTTGGTACATTCTCAGACATTTCGCCGGCATCACAAGTGAGTCTTGCCATTCTCCGCACCAGGCCACGAACTCGTCAAAGGGATAAGTGCAGTCACTCCCTTGACCAACACTATCACTCCTTTTTCTGTCCTGGCCCATCTATCCACTCCTTACCCTCTTATCCAACTCGCTCCCTATCACAATTTATGACTTGTTTACATTCAGAATGAGCCATTTTTCGGTAAATTTAATGCGGCCTCATCACACCTGCTATTTACCCTGGTCCTCTCTTTCGATCGGTTAATCTGAGTTATGATAACTACTATGGCAGAGGATTTCGGACAAGGTACTTTATACCAAGTCACAGTGACAAAAAGATTAAATCGTGAAAACGAGGTCAACCCACTTCCATAAATCGAAAAGAGACTGCGGGAACATCGAGGTGGACACCATTTTAATCTTTAAATCTTTGAATGGGGATAATAGTTCTAGGAGAATGAGTATATTCCGACTAGTGAAATGAGATCTAGAAAGATCTATGGGAAATAAAAGAAGACAGGCGAAAAAATAAGGCTTGAAGTTGGTAGTTGTGAGCTATAATGAAGGAAGGCCAAACAAGACCAAGGATTTCAAAGGGCCAAGTAGCGATGCTTTTAAGGAGGGAACAAATACTGATAGGACTCAAGCCTGTAACCTACGAAAGCAGGACCATAGAGGAAAGAGGCGTGGAGATCTCGGATAGTATGGGCTCCCCTTATTAGATACCCTTTAATTCGGGGAGGAATACTCCGACCTTGAGTTTTGGAACGATGTTTATGGGAGTTGAAAGCAAGGTTCTTGGAGCAGGATGCAAACATTAGCTGAGGTAGGTTAAAAAATAGATCGTATAAGGGAGGAACGTATTAGCAGAGTCAAGAACTGCACTGAGTTTAACATATATTTGCAAGCTAATCGTATATTCAGGAAGATTTCAAAGAACACACTTCGTACTCCTCCCCAGGTCATTGCTGGCATGTGCTTGAGAGGATCCCTTTAACTTTATCTTGCCCAAGAGTCTAAGTGAATCTATATTAGGCACAATAAAACAAATTCGGATAATAATTATACTTAAGTTAAAGAACGAAATTACCTACAATATAAATAACGAAGACCAAAAGCGCTAACAAAAAACATCAAAAAGCCTTAATAGGCATAATGGAATTAGTCATGCAACAGGGCAAGCAAAACACATAACTATTCCATATAAGCTTATGCCATCTCCTTTCTGCGATTATTCTCTATTTGTTAGCGTTATATTTTACAGTAAATACAAAGGCGGGAGTAAGTCATGTCAAGAGGATCAAAGTTGTGGCTTGTAAAGCAGTCTTTAAAGCTGAAATAAAGGGTTAAAAAGGTTTGGAATGAATATTAAAATTAATCTACTAACGCAAAGGCTAAAAAATATAAATGATAAACACTGAGACTGAAGACACCCACCTCATAACGAGACGCATATAATTGAGCCTTGGCATGAACGGTCCCAAATATGTCACCACTAACTTCACGATTTTGGTTATGTTTAATGATGAATTTCTTTGTGTCTCTACAAAAGGCATACCTTGGGTACTTCAAATAGGACATACAGCAATTACTTGGAATGAATCAATCACGATAAGGATCTTACTATCGTCATTTCGCTCGGCCTTGCATTCAAAAACAGCATTCTCGCAATCATTTTTTTCTATGCGACCCCCGGAAATATCTTGCTTTAGAATGGTTTGTATAATTCTCTGAAGGACTTGCTGCTGCTTCGGGGCCTCAACCAAATCAATTACCCCAGATAAGTAGGCCAAGGCACTAGGGGCAATTACAAGACCATGAAGCTTGAAAGATTTAGAGACATTCCTCTTAACCTCATTCTTAAAGAAGCATGAGAAAAAATATCAAACCATAGTTGAAAATTGCGGATGACGAAGGCACACAGTACGAATTGAGCTAAAGCATAATAAGTTTTGCACTCAAGGTTATTATTAAACATAATCAAAATATCCTTTAACCTTTTTAAAAAGTAAAAAATAAATTTATGGTAATTATTTTTAATTTTTAGAACTAGCTAAAATTATTTAGAGTTCTTTGGAGCAACCTTGAGTAACTTTGGCTAATTATGAATGGCTCCAACTTATTTTTAATTGATTTTTGAATATTAAGTGTGTGGTATTTTTATACTAATTAACTATAAGGTCTTTTATGATTGGTTTAGCCTCGCAAATCGAAAGTGAAACTTCGGCGGGATCGACTATCACAATGCCTCCTGCTAGGTCCAGGTATGCCTCACTTTACATAATCTACTTGCAGCGATTCCAGACACTATAGTAAAACCATTGCTGCATTAACTGCTAGGCAATATAGAAACAACAAGAAACTGGAACTCGAACGACTACGAAATGGACTCCACCTGGCCTTAATGGAGGTTGAAAGATTTAGATCCTTATATTTAGCTGCTCAGCTCGAACTCACAGAAATGTGTCAAAGGTGAATTTGTGCTTTAGTGTCGCATTTATCTAGTAGCTCACCATTGTTTTAATGTTGTTTTATTTATTTTAATAGGTACGAGAGCCTCAGAACCAGGCATCATAATCCTCTATCCGATGGCAGTGTCCATGGTTCCCTCGGTGAATCCTCTACCCTGTGCTCTCCAGACCTTGATCCTTTCTATGACGACATCAACCACCCCCCCGTCTCACCTTCAGATCCTGTGCTCACTGAAGTTATATAGTTTATGCTAGACTCGGTTCGCGCAAGACTCAGGCACATGAAATTATGTCCCTAGTTAGGCTTACCCCCCCCTCTTGGTGCCAGTTGTCATTGGTGCTCGGTATCTGTTTTGCTTTTCAGCAGACTGCGCTTCAAGCCAACTCCGAGTGATTTTCGCTTTCACCCATGCAGAATACTCAGATGAATGGTACGTGGTTGAGATTGTACCATGGTTCTCTAGTAACGGAATGTTTGTTATTTTGAATAGCATCATCGCTCCTCATATGACATGGAACTGGTGGAGGTGCTCGACACAGGTAAGCTCTGTGCGGTCGAGAAGCGGAGTGGTTAGGGTGCTCCCTATTCATGTGCCTGAGGCTCGATGAGCCCTTTGTAAATATTATGTATCCTTTAGGTCTTTTCATCTCGTTTTTACTGTGACTCTTTTTACACGCCATACCCTAAAAACGCTGCGCCGCATATATTTTTATTAACTGCTCCTAGGAGCCCTTGCTGGTCCATAAACGTGGTTGTCTGATTGCCTCTTCAAATTGAGAAAAAACTGCTTGCAATCCCTCGGTGTATCTATATGAATAAAACCGCGTTCCATTATACTACTGGTTTGTGAGTCTTATTATTCCACATGCATCAGCCTTATCTCATATTCAAGTGGGCGGATCGGTCTTTCTCACTGCCCATTTAGTGGCCCCTAATCGAACTTGCATCATCAGGATTAACACTAGTCCGACGCCACGTTTTTATTTGTGTTGGTCGGGTCTCGTCTTCCCGGAGGACAATTCTGTCTCGAAATTGCTAAATATTCCTGCACAAAGACTCTGAGCTTAATCACTATTCTCTTAAAATAATGATTAACTTTCTTCGATTGGTGGCATTTCGTAATCATGCCCTACGCCTGGCTTGAGCCCTTGTCACTTCGGATTTTTGACGGTGGATCATTCGCCAATGGACCGTTTCAAGGCGTTATTTGTGTATCCTTGTAGTCTGCCATTTTGCTTTCCCTTGTCCGTGTCACCGGATTCCACGTGAATCGTCGGTTGTTATATGTAGTGCTTGTACTTGTCTAACGCTACTTCAGTGTAATCACGTCCTCAGGATGGATGAAGCTTCGATTAGTGCCACGGGCGGGCGCTCACTCATCGGACCCGGGTCGCCGAAGTGCTACTGATCCGCCAATCTTGTAATACAAGCCTTCACTATAGTGATCATTTACGACTTGGTGTATTGAAGTCATTAGGACTTTGTCGACTGGGGACAAAAGACCACACGTGCCATGCCACTAATGCTTGCGTCTGGTGGCTGGTTAGTTTACTTCATCGCGCCCTTCTTCCTCGGCTCCGGCTTTGCCTGACTGCTATTCAATTTCGTCTGCCCTCTTGCCACGCTCAGCTCCATATTGGGTATCCTGTGCTGATGTTTTTCCTTGTAGTTTTTGTTCTGTTTTCTTGCACCATTTTTGATCAATCTCATTGGGCGCATAAAGATAATTATATGTTATCCACGAGCGAATTTTACCATCAAATAAGCACTTAAAGGCCGTTAAAAATGCTTAAGGTTTTAATCTGCTACGGGACTGAGGCATTATATTTGATGAGTTACCCTTACTTTTCGTTTCAAGTAAAAGCTTTTCAGGAAAAGATTGCTATTTGGTCTGGTCATAAATTAAAGGTGGATTGGCCTGAAATTAAGATTTTTGGATGATTAGTTAAAGTGGTCGGGGCTGGATGGCATGGTTCGCTAAATTATGCCAAACGAAAGGGTCTCCGATTGCAAACCTCGTCTGCCTTGTACGCTTGCAACTTCCAAGTCGCGTTAGGTGTCGGCTGTAGTCAGATTCGAGGCTAGCTTGGCTTTCTTGTCAGCCGTTCTTTCTTTTCACTCTTCCTCATCAGGCCTACCAATGGGTAGTTCGCACCATTTCCCACGCTTGCTACTTCTATTCGGTGTTCTTTTTAATATTCCTCTTGTAGCCGCTTTTCGAGCAACCTATTGGGTGTCGTGCTAAGCGAGTTAACAATTTTAGACGCATGGATTTTCTATCTGCTTTGTGATAATCTCTCCTGAATGGGGTGGCAAGCTTCCTCTGCGCACGTACTACCACATTAGAACATGACCTTGCAGACACCCTAATATAAAACTCGTTTTGAAAATTTCAGAATACACGACCGAGGGAAGTGTTAATTTTTCTACACTTCCTGAATAATCCACCCAGCTTTTCTTCAACCGGACAACGGCAAAATCGCGAGCAAATTATGGTGGCATGTCCGCTTATCCCTCACTTGTGAATTTCTACCCTTATCCCTAAGTGTATTCTATCAGTACTAGCCGGTAACTGCTAAAAATCAGTCTCGATTATCCGGCCCCTGTGGTCTATTTTCGTGCATAATTTGTTTTTTTAAGACTGCCAGCAGGACTTGAAAATTCAGCGGAAATGTATGGTCTAATCATATTGCGGAAAAAATTCATCTACAAGTCCCCTTGGCATTTCAAAAAAGATAGGGCGAGCACACTATATTTAAGCTGGTGATCCAGGTCTACCCGTGAAAGACTTCACACTATCATTCATTTCATAATTTTAACTCAAAGGTAACTTTAGTAAGCTTATTCACTCTTCCTATGACTCAACTACTCTCTCCATTCTATCTTTCCCGTATCGCCGGACAGCAATGTACTTGTATATTCATAGCCATTAACCTTGGAGCTGGAAGTCTTTATTAAATCACTCGAACCTTCGATTGAACCACATAGTTATCATCTAAAGGAGGGGTTAATCGTGGGAAGACCTGAACGTTGCTGAGTCTGCATACCTTTTTGCCTATAATGTTCTGCGGATATTGTTCTAAAATTAGTTCTCATTTGATGTCTACTGGGGCCAATTAACGAATTACCTCACCGGCCTTTTCGCCCGAAATGAAAGAAAACCTGCATAAATTGTTAAATTTAGTCATGATCATAGAGTCACTCGGTTCCAAGGTTATTTGTTGTTCGATTTTTTCAATCTGGACGTCCCGATAAAAGTGAACCACGAGGGTAATCAACCTTCGTTTCAGGATGAAATCATCCTACCAATCGCTTAATTACACTCGGAATACGAGTTACTTTAACGATGATATAGCTAGAAAACCCAGCTGGTTTTCTCATGCTAGCAGGTTTGGCCTTCGTGGTATCACGGATCGGAGGCCACACGATAAGATCTTCCCATCATCTGCTAAGGGCTGTGCAATCTACAGATGGACCCAAGATATAGGATTGCGGTATTAAACAGGTGAAGAGAGTTTATAGGAATCACAACGATAATTAGTGGCGAATTCACTGTGTCAAGGGGATTAATTATAAATTTGGCCTTTCTGGTTTGTCAATATGAAAAAAAATGTCAGATGAAAAAGTCTAAAATTTGGCTTGGGACATCGAAAGTTGAAAGTAATATTTCTACAGTGGTTTGGTTAAGTGAGAGAAAATGCAAGTTGATACTATTGAGCTTGGTGAACTAACGTCTCATTGACATATTAGCCGAAATAGGTTCAGATGAACATGGACCGGGTGACATTAATTAGGGTTTGGTGAGGCACCATGAAGTGCGCTAACCCAGGGTGGGATGATGGGTTAAGATTGCTCGAAATAGAATTCGATGGGAGTAGGCGAGGTGAAGCAAATTGGGCTGAGGTCTTACAAGATGACGACCATTGAGGTGGATTGACACCGGTAAGGTTACGATTTAATTACACAATGCCAAATATGATTAATTGCGATCGGGTGATGTCCCTCAGTTGGAGTGAGTTTGGTTGCTTTGCTGCAATGGAATAAATTGGAGTTGGGTAGCCTGATCCCATTTGAAAAGATCTGAGAATACATAGGTTGTAAGAGGTCTCTTGTGATAAGTTTTTTGCAACCGTCAGAAAACATGGTTGCTATCTACGATGTCAAGCTCTCAAGGGGATAAGTGAACAGGTAGCATTTCTTTTGATTCGAAATTGAAGAGCAGGCCTTATTTTGAATCTGTTTTTACCATTTTATGATGTTTTTGACCGGGCTGAACCGTATTCTCGAAAACATCCATCATATAATCAGCAAACTAAGCAAGATTAAAATCAGTGCTTAGACGAGTCATGACCGAACAAATTAGTTATTGGCCGAGCTGCTATCATTTCCTGCTCACCAATTGAACTTGCATGTTAACAACTTGCCACTTTCCTTGCTTCAATCCGACCTTAGTATTCAGCGATTCCTCAGATAATTGTACAATATTTCCAAAACGAGAAACAATTTTTATCCAATCAGTTGAGAAAATAATCAAATCTGTCGCATTGTATCAAATGAAGTGTAGGTCAGCATATTCGCTCGATCCTCAAAAGTAGCTACAAAATGTTTACGATGATTGAATGGAGAGATGGGAACGGAATCGCGAATGTCTGTCTTTCGAACAACTAGTTAACTTGAACGATGCTTCGTTTGCATCCTACAACCATAATCAAAAAGATGTTTATTCTTAGCACTCTTGGCCAGTCTCTCGGTCTAGCTTACAACCTCGGCTGACAAGGCTTATTTTATGGCATGAGATTGGGCAAACGTGTGCCGGCTAGTCTTGGCGTGGGGAATGGAATTGCGGTATGTTTGTGTGAGTAAAGGCTAATGTGTAGAAAAATTGGTTTTAAAAGAATTGCTAAACAGATCCATGTAGGCGCAACATTCGGTTTGCTTTAAGAGGCGAGTGTAAGGGACTCGAAAATTGGCCTCACCGAGAGCCGAAGCAAGTTGACGTCATTTGCGTTGATGGACTTTGTCGGACGATAACTGTCTTTCTTGTCTTTGCACATTGCGATCTACCGGTGCACCGAAGACCCATTCATACAGTCACAGCTTTAAGGCCAATTTATGAATCTGTCCTACTCATCTGCTCAACTGAAATGAAAGCTATGGCAACAGCTAAACTAGTTTTGCCAGTGGATGAGTGTGATACTCCTACCCACTTGGTTCCTACAATATCGGTCTTTACCAAGAAATCTG